TGACACGTAATACTTTACATTTTATTTTTAATTTCAAATCGATGAGTTTTATCAAAAAACACAAGAGATAAAAATGTTTCTAAACAAACTAAACTATCCCAAACTGTGGCTATGTTTGATGCCTCTAGAATTAACAGAATGACAAACAGTTCTTCAGCCCCTTCCATTTCAAAGTGAAAAACTACCAGAGAGAGTGTGCTCGCTGGTAATGCTGTTAGTCTAAATTTCAAATAAATAAAGCGTATTTTCCGCCATCTGCAATATCAATGTTCGGTAATGACTATAAAGCAAACTACCCTTTGTTTTAAACAAGGAATCACCCCTGAAGTTTTCGCATTTGTTTTGAAAACACCCTGATAAGTATTTATTTGCAAATTGGTTGTAGAAAAAAAAATATAGTAAAATATTATAAGCTGCGTGAACGAACCCCCTGTATACTCTATACAACGAAATAATTATTCTCACATTTAGAAAAATGTGATTTGACTATAAAAAATTAACTTTTCATACTGTGAGCTGTTTTTGAAAAAGTGGGTGAATAATATTGTAATTTTGGTTGAGGCCCTATACACCTATATGAGTTCAAAAAAAATTTTAACCAAGAAATTAAAAAAAATTATTTAACTAAAAACAATTTCAAAAATAAATATAATAAGTAAGCCAAAAAGAACGAAGTATAAAAAATTTAAAATAACAATAAAGTAAGTAGCACTATTTTAAAAAAATCCAATGAAGTATATCGTTGAAATCAGCTAATATTTTTTCTTAAAAATGTATATACAAATATTATAAAAAAAACAATATACACATATTTCTGTAGAGATTAGTAGTGCATACGAAAAATTAATAAAATAAATACGAAAAATAAAAAAAAAAAAAATATTCAAAATCTTCGTGTGATCTGTTTTTGAAAAATGGAGTGAATAATATCTATTGTGATTTTGATTCACCCTATATACCTATATGATCCTATGAATGCTAATAAAAATTGTTACCAAGAAATTTAAATAACTACTTAATAAAAAATTAGAAAAAAAAAATATTATGTAGATGTCATTACGAAATAGTATAATAAAATTACAATAAAGTAGCCTGGAAAGTAGCATTATTTTAGGAAAATCTAATGAAATTATATCATTGAAAACAGCTAATAGTTTTTCTTAAAAATTTCTGTACCAAATGCCCAAAAAAGAAAACAAAAATATATAAAATATATTTCTGTAGAAATTAGTAATGGACGAAGAAATAGTAAAATATCATTAAATATTTGAAAATCTTAGTGTGCCTGTTTTTGAAAGAGTGGGTGAATAATATTGTAATTTTGGTTCACCCTAGGAAAAGAAATGACGTTCCATCCAGCCAACAGAATTGCTTTCAAGCCAGCCGCGTTAAGAGGGTCCAATTTGTCGAAAAATATCAGGAAATTCATAGGAAACTGGTCGTACTTACCATCTCTCGAGTCCAGCTGGGCCCTATACCCGCGATTGTACCGAGCAAAATGTGTAAAGGCGCACATTCACTCCCGGAGTGCAGCACGTCTGGATACAGCGCCCGAGCCCAGGTACGACCTGAGCTATATGACGTGTCCAGACCCATACCGATCCTTGATCCATACCATATCCATTCCATCCAAAGGCAGCCTGGTTTCTTTGCGACTTGAAGATCTGTTGCTGTGTTGATATTCGTCATCTCCTTCTTCACTGGCAGCGTGGTCCTGGAATATCCGTAACTCTGGATAATTTCTGTGTGATGGAATTATACCTACAATATTAAGTACTAATTATTACCTTATATTAATAAGTTTCTAAATGTTATTTAGTATAAATACAGGCAGATGTAATTTTTCTGTATTTTACAGGTTCCTAAACTCTATTTAGATTATTCTATAAAATATTTATTACATAAAAGTATTCTTCTATTAAATAATATCTTAAAAAAACATATCAAGTGCACTACTATTAGAAATATTCTTCATAAAAATTGATTCACTATAATTTATCCACTTATATAAGGTTTTTATTTCTAAAATACTATATTCATCAAACTATTTAAGTCTGAAAATGATATATTTTAATACAGTAAAACCATAAAAAAGAACTATTTATAGCAACAGAAAGTATAAAAAAGCAAACAGAAAGAAACGGAAAGTTTAACAAAAAAAGGCGGCTTTGACTTTTTTTTGTTGATCTTGCGCTTCTACCGGCCATCTTTAGATGGTGGAATTTTTCGAAAAAAATCGGGAAATTCGTAGGAAAATTGTCAATCTTACCCTCTCTAAGACTCCAGCTATGCACTACACATGATTTCCGAGCACAATATACAAGAAAAAGGCACTTTTCCTTAAAAATTCTGGAGAAAAACCGACAAAGACCTTACATCGTCAACGGTCCGTCTAGAAATGGCGAAAATCGACCGAAACGACCAATAAAATTGAGTTTTGGCGCTCGGTTTCTGATTTTTGACGCTAGGAGGAGCGCCAACTGGCGCTTTTCTTCTGTTTTACCGATAAAAAATTATGTAATTTTTTGACCTAAATTTCAAGTTTAAATGAAAATTTAGCAATATAACGCTACATTGGAGACAAAACTACTACCAGGGAAATGTAGCTACGTGTTTTCCGAATAAAATGACACCAAACAATAAACGAACAAAGCAAAATTCACATAGATATCGCATTTTAATTACCCCAATGTCCCTAATTGTTAATATCATAAAAAATAGATTTTTGCCTTAAAAACGATTTTGAAGCTTTAAAATAGTTAAGGAATTATAGATTATCATTAAATATAGTTAATTAAGCAGTTTCAGACCTATTAAACCCATATAAATTAAAATAAAATTCAAAAATATGGTGGCGGTTCGGTAGCCTTCAGAATCTTCAATTAATATAACTTTGTTGGTCGATATTTGCCGAAATAATGTAATATTTAGTTAAATAGGGCCTTATTACATCTATAAATTATAAAACAAGGCAGTAATACCTCTATTTATAACTTCTATGAGACATTTTCTTAGTCAATGTAATGGCCAAGGTTTTTTGCTTTTATTTCACCAATTTTGCTGTGAAATCAATAAAAAACCTCATTCAACATGATTCTGTGCTGTAAAAATCATGTATTTGTAGTTTTTATCAATTTCCAAGCCCCAAAACAAGAATATATAACTTCTAAAAGATATTTACTGTTATTTCCTAATTTTGGCTTGAAATCAATAAAAAAACCACGTTTAACAACGTTCTGTACCTTACTAATTATGTTTTTGTAGATTTTTAATAATTTCTAACCCCCAAAACAACACAAGAGTAAACAAGAATTTGTTGACTCTTCGATACAAAATTTGTTCGATGAAAGCTTCGAGCACTATGTATAAACAAGACGTTTTCTATATACGGTCTAAAAAAAAACAAAGGGTATGATTGCTCATGTATTTTTAAGAAAAAAAGCTCATATAAACATATAGGGCCTAAAGTGCTCCCTATATAAATAGCCGAATATGTGGAAGTAGACAACAAAATGGCATTTAAAACAGTTTTATATTCATAATTTCATACCATATATTTTGAAAAATAAATATGAACTTATAATTTCTATTAAAAGGTAACATTCAAATCTAATATTACACACGATTTATATAATCTTACTGTTTTTTTTTATTTTACAATCTTACTTATTACATATGATTTTTTAAAGATCTTTGCTTACAGTTACGATAGACTGATATTGTATTAAGTACCTATAATGGTTACATTATACTTCAACTTCATTTATTAATCTCATATATATAAAAGGACTTATTTGTGCTTCACAATGTAACACAAAGTTGAATTTTGGTCCATGTACTTTCAGAAACTGGGACCAAGCTCGATTTCACTCTACAAAATGCTTTTTTTAACACAATATATATCACCTCATACCTTGTTACCTTTTTCCACTAATTCCTTTCCTTTTTATCTTTAGGGAAACCTAAAAAATTTGCATCTTTTCCTTTGGTTATAAGAAATGGTAGAAAAAGTGGTTTTTCCTTGCACTATTTGAGCTTATTCTGTTCCTTAAGACTTGTTTAATCTCCTGAAAAGTACCCATTATTTTACATAGTTTGGTATTTTATTTTCAAAGTTACGCAGGAGAACTGGATCTAGAACAACAGAGACTAGTTTATTATCTGTACTATTCAAATGCATTACTTTACTTTGGAATATCTAGAATGTTATTTTGAGAAAATCACTTAAGATTAAAGAGTGTGAATTTTCTTTAGTGAAGACTGCTTATAATTTCATCCTATAATACAGTCAAATGGGTCCAGCCAATTGGACAAATCAGCGCTTTTTCCTCAAAGATTATGGGATCCTGCTGAGTTTGTAAATCCCCTACAAGTAATGTTTTTGTAAAAACCTTTGCTATATTCAAAGAGCCTTAAAATTAATTCCAATACAATTTCCCATGAGAATTATATTTACACAGTTTTCATGGTTGTAAAATTACTTTTTGATTGCAGATCAGTTTGAAATTACCTTTGTTTTGCACAGGCCGTACAACAGCTCTAAGACATCTCACAAATTAGGCACGTAATGTCTAATTATTGTCCAACATTTCTATGAATATTTGTATCATTCTCTATTAGTTATTCCACATATATCGTGAATTTGGCAGTGCATAGTTCTAAGTTCGTCTTGGAACAAGCGATTGGTCTCTTTTAGGACTTCTGTGATGCAGGACATCGCTTAGGAAGTAGTACTTGGTTATTGTTTTAGTATTACCTGAAGCTGAACATTGGAAAGGAAATGCATAGTTAAAATTTGGCTGTATTATAACGGGTATATTCAATTAAATGGTATTCTGTTCTGTGATGGTATTCTACCTTTTATTGTTCTTTCGTTCTTCGATGATAAAGTTAATTTTTGTCTACGCGCGCGGATAAATACGTTACTATTGTCAAATATTGAAATGAGTGAAAATGAAAAAGAAGAAAAATCTGACACAAGGCCATCTTAATTAAAAAGAAGAAGAAGAATAACTAACCTACCTTTTAGTTGTCATTATTTATCAAATTTTCTTGTTTTTAATTTTAATACATTTTTTCGTTTTGAAATATCATGTCTTCGATAGACAGGGTTCGTATTATGGTTCTGGGCGACTCTGGAGTTGGCAAAACATCTTTTGTACACCTGGCATCTCACAACGAACCCATCAAATCCCCCAGTTGGACTATCGGATGTTCGGTTGAAGTCAAATTACACGAATTCAAGGAAGGTACGAAGGAACAAAAAACGTTTTTCGTCGAATTTTGGGACGTGGGCGGCAGTAACAATCACAGAAACACCCGACAGGTATTCTACAACCCGTGTCACGGTGCCATTCTCGTTCATGATTTAACTAACCGAAAATCAGAAGAGAACTTGCAGAAATGGCTTACAGAACTACTGAATCGCGAAGCAGCCAATGGAGATGCGAACCTAAGCGGAGTCTCATCGGACAGTGAAGATCTAGACGTAGAAAATCTACTGGGTGCTAATAGTTTAATGCCCATACTCTTGGTGGGGACGAAATTAGATCAGGTAGATGATAAACGTTCAAATTCTGTTAATAAGAGTTCCAGAAACAGATATAATTCGGAAGAAATTTTGCTAGACTGTCGGCAAGCAAGGTATTTAGCTGCTGGTACATCGAATGCAGTGAAATTATCTAGATTCTATGATAAAGTGATTGAAAACAGTTTGTATGATCGAAGGAAAAACGACAGGTTTGGAACCAACACAGTTGCACCGATTTTCAGTACTAAATTTTACTCGCCACATCAGGATTAGGATAAACTATTTATGTACCTTATTAATATTGTTATTGATAGAATTAAAGATACTTTTTATATTTTTATTTAAGATATATATTACCAAAATAAATATATTGTACAAAAATTGAAAGTTTTAAAACAAACAGCGTCAACTGACTTTTTTCAAAATGTAAACATGAGAATTTTTGAATCCGAATTTGTAATAGGCCAAAAACGGGAAGTTCCTAATAAGCCACAAATCTCTGTACCGAGTGTGATTGTGGTACCACCTAGATATTGTCCATTTTAAACTGAAAAACACAAAGCCTGTTAAGTAAAACAGGAATGTCTCCCATCGCGTTAGTTTGTGATATTCCTCGAAATTTTTCGGGTCAAACTTGTCCTGTAGCATCATAACTAAAGAACAATAAGCAACGTTGAAGTTCAGTATGGGACTAAACACCCATAAACCATTAACCAGATGGCGTGACATTTCTGTAAATTCTGCGTCCTTTCTTTTGACACACGGTAGGAATACTTTTTCGATTAATTTCTCGCATTTTGCCTGTACTTCTTGAACCGTCCCCGTACACAAATTAAATCTGAAATCAAACATTTTTTATATAACTACTTAGATTATACAGGGTCCTGCAAGAGAGCGTCATGCATCATCTTCAAAAAAAATATAGGAAGTATGTAGTAGAGCCTGTTTCATGTCAATATTTTAACTTCTATATCAGGGGGGCTCAAAAAGTGTGAGTGGATTGGGATGTTTTTTTTTAAATAGCACACCCTGTATGTTTTTGAATTTTTGGCTTCCTTTCAGATCACTTTACATAATCCTATGATATGATAGTAAATATATTTCGATAGTTTCAGGGATATTAATAAATAAATCAGAAATATATATTTTTCAGTCCTTCTTGAAAAATTATTAAAAATACAAGAACTGTTCTGAAATCAAAAATATATCAGGTATTTACTTTAAGAGGGTCTGTTCTTAACTTTGCTATAAATGGTAATCGTAAATCATACAGGATGTTCAAAACTCTACGTCAAACTTTCTAAAATATAAAATACTAGCGTGTACCAGCGACTTCGTTCGCGTCGAATTAATCATTTGTAATGGTGATGATAAAGCAAAGCAAGAATTTCCATTAACATACAAACTGGATAAAATTTTCTCACATTTATGTCAGCGTGAGAAAAAACAATATGGCGATATTATTATATAACTTAGTAATATTTCAGCGGTAGTTTCATCTCGTTGGAATTTGACTTTCGAAAAATCCGTTTGCCAAAAATAAGCTTTTTACGTCAAAGCAGTTTAAGCAGAATCGTGGTTAAGAAATTACCCAACTTTTTGGAACACCCTCTGTATGATTTTTTAAAAAAATTCAAAATATGTAAAAAAAAACAAATAAATTATGCTTGTCCAAGCGTTTTCCCGAAAGACTAACCGTTTTTTAAATAACAAATATTGTAATATTTGAGGGGCGTTTTCACCCTCTTGGAATTTGAGATTCGAGAAACCCCTCCT